TATGTGGAGAATATAATTTGTTGTTTGCTGGCTTATTCAAAATTTCCAAACCCTTGTAATTCTACTTTTGGCAAACGAGCAAGTATGCAGGATGTTGTTGCAGCTTTCGATTCACACCGTTTTGGGAAACCTGCCAACTGCAGAGTTGACTGAGGTACAGGTTTTGGATGCATCTTGTGTGTCCTACACTTGATGGAATATGACAAATGAATATGCATTGGATAGAGGAAGTGCATGAGAGGTTGTATGTATTGTCCTCTCATACTGTATGGCATTTATTGTCTAGATACACTGCCCCAAAAGTTGACACACAGTTAACTTTGTCATCTAGTGTGCAGGATTTGTATTTTGTATGGGTGTATGTTTGTTATCGTATGAGAGATCAGAACTTAGAGAGTAAATATTCTCTCCACTTGTTAGAGTGTTGAGAGAGCTCATCAATGAAGGATTGAAGATGAGAAGAACGATTCTTGGAGTCGAAGTCGAAGAAGATATTCATCCGGTAAACAACCTTATTCTTAGTTTGGTCGCTGGCCTGCTGGAGTAGTTGCAGTGGAGTAACAGCCAGTCCATGAGAGTTTGAAAAACTAAATGGAGCTTGGACAGTTCGATTTGGTGTCTTATATGGTGTAAACCTAGTGTTTGCTTTAGTTAAGACTCTTGAATTAGAATCCCCCAGACGTAGGTTGGAAAACCGAACTGGGTAAACAAACTTGGCGTGTTGTTTTTGCTTCTGCACTTATTTAGCCATCGATTTGTGCATGAACACACACCTCTGTTATATCCGCGAGACAACTATATTTTAAAGCTGTGATTACATCGAACGTTTCATAGTTCCGTTATGCAATGTACTAGGAGGCGTTGGACCTCTTACTCGCCCCTCTCCGTGACTTCCAACATCTGGTATCAGATCAGCGTGTTCAATACCCCGAGTATATCTGTCTGTGGTTCAAGATGAGTCGTGAAGTAATCTCGTCCATTCATCCACCTGTGTTCGATGGGAAGAACTACACCTACTGGTAAAACAGGATAGAGACCTATCTGTTAACTCTTGGTGATGAAACTTGGGAAGCTGTAGAGCTCGTCTGGACTCCTCCAACCAAAGTTATGCCTGGAGAAACTCAGAACGACCCTCCAACTATCGTTCTGAAGTCGAAAAATGAGTGGACACCTGAATAAAAAATTGCTACTTGTGAAAATGCCAAAGCTGTAAATGCCATATTTGCTTCTATCGATGAAGTTCAGTTTCGTGTCATCTCAAACTGCAAAAAAGCAAATGATGCATGGAGAGCCTTGGAAAATGCATTCGAAGGGACTGCTAAAGTTTTAAAAAAAAATTCCAAAGGGTAGAAAGTATGTTCGAAGCCTTCAAAATGACTGATGATGAAACAATGTCTGAGTTCTACACTCGATTCAAAGATGTGGTGAATCAATCATATGCTCTTGGCTTGGAATATGATGAACAAAGGCTAGTTCGAAAGATGTTGAGAAGTGTGAATAAAAAGTTCAAAATCAAAGTCTCTACTCTTGAGGATAAGAAGAAAACTAAGAACATGAATCTTGAAACCTTAAATGGTATTTTCATGAATTGGGAGATGAATCATATTGAAGAAAAAAGCTCAAAAGGGATTGATCTTATTGCCGAAGATCTTGAGCTTATCAAATCTGATGAAGAAATGTCTCTGCTGTCCAAGAAGTTGTCTCGAATGATAAGTGAAAAGCATGCTAAAAAATTACAGAATTCTGGAAACAGAGCTCACTATAGTGGTAAAACAACTGGTGAACAACGAAAGTATCCAGAACACAAAAGTGTTGGTTATAGTAAAGAAAATAGAGCTTATGATAAAAGTTACAAGAAGAAGTTCAACACTGTTTCTAGGCCAGAAAACTCAAGTGATCCGAAATGCTTTGCATGTGGCGGAATTGGCCATGTGAAAGTGGAATATGCAAAATTCAATAAAAAAGGAAAGCATGCATTTCAGGCTACCTGGAGTGATGAAGAAGACAGTCAAAAATCTTAATATGAAAGTGATAATGAAAACGTTGTTGCTTTTGTTGCCAAAGAAGGAGAATCTAGCAAAAGAAAAGAAAGTGTTCTTGAAGAAGAATGTAACAGCAACGAAACAATCGAGATGGATATCTATGAGCTAATGGAAGCTTATGAGGAAGTTGTAGCTGAACAGAAAATTTGTGTCAAGAAAAACAAGGATTTGAGCAACACAGTTTACCATTTGGAAGCTCGAGTTGAAAAAGCTGAGGAAGTGAACCAAGAAATGTTCGAAATCAATGAAGGACTTCAGAAGGAAGTCAAGCAGTTGAAAATGAAGTGTGATGATCTGAGAGAAGAAAATGATAGACTCAGAAAAGGAAAAGACAAACTCGATGAAGTTTTATCGATTGGAAAGCCATTTGGAGATCATCGTGGGATAGTTTATCAAGAATCCATGAAGGTGAATCCAACTACCTTTGTGAAAGGAGATTTGCTTACTGATGTGAAGATTCCAGAGTAACCTACAAAAGGGAAGAACACTGAAGGTCCCAAAGAAAATAGAAAGGAGAGACAAAATCAAAATCGCAGAAAGAACAAACGTATCAACCCGTCGTTACAACAAAAAAGTAACTGCATGTACTGTTTTCGATTTGGTCATGCTGAATCTCACTGTTTCAAGCTGGCTAGGGATTTGATGTCTGGAAAGAAGTTTAATTGACCCTCAAATGAGCTGAAACAAAGTGTGAATTTCATAATGGAATGGAGACCTAAGAAGAATCAATCTCAAATGATGTGCAATGTCATCCTATCTAGTCAAGAAGCAACTAATTCATCCCAATGGTATTTTAACAGTGGATGTTCACGCCATATGACGGATCAGAAGCATCTATTGAAGAATTATATAGCTGACACTTGTGGAGAAGTGATATTTGGAGATAGAGCTAAAGGAAAAATTGTGGGCTATGGTTCTCTCGAAGCCAAAGGTATACCGAAGTTGACGAAGGTATATTTTGTTGAAGGCTTGAGTACTAATCTCATTAGTATCAATTAGTTATGTGATGATGAGCTGCTAGTGAAGTTCACTAAGGATTCTTGTGAGGTGTACAACAACAAGAATGAGTGCATGATGACTGAAAAAAGGTCAAGGAACAACTGCTACTTACTTGACAAACCAGTGGATGTTGCATTGATCTCAAAGGATGATGAAGCCCTTCTATGACATACAAGACTTGGTCATGTCAACCAACAGAGCTTGATGAAATTAAGCAAGCAAGGAATTATCAGAGAACTTCCAAAGTTTTCGAAGTTACCTAACTTCGTTTGTGGTGATTGTGCTCGAGGAAAGCAAAAGCGCGTGTCTTATTCGCAGTCGGAACATCAAAGTAGAAATACTTGTCTTGATTCATTGCATATGGATTTGATGGGTCCAATGGATACACTCAGTCTTTGAAGTAAAAAATACATACTTTTTTGCATTGACGATTTCTCGAGATATACATAGGTTGATTTTATGAAGAAGAAAGAAGATACATTTGATATCTTTGAAAAATTGTGCAAAAGATTGATGAATGAAAAGGGATCAAAGGTTAATCGAATTCGTACCGATCATGGTAAGGAGTTTGAGAATCAGAAGTTTGATGGTTTCTGTTCTGATCTTGGAATACTGCATGAGTATTTAGCCCCGGAGATCCCACAACAAAATGGAGTTATCGAAAGGAAGAATCGAACACTTCAAGAAATGGCTAGATCAATGAGGCAAGCCAAAGGTGTTTCAAAGTACTTATGGGATGAGGCGATCAACACTGCATGTTATGTGATCAACAGAGTATATTTGAGACCCCACACTGAGATCACACCGTATGAGCTATGGAAAGGAAAAGAGCCGAATGTGTCATACTTTCACACATTTGGATGTCGATGCTACATTTTGAAGGATAGAAGTTATCTTCAGAAATTTGATGCAAGATCAGATTAAGGAATATTCATTGGCTATTCTCATTACAGCAAAGCTTATCGCGTTTACAACAAGAGGAAGAAGAAAGTTATCGAATCAATTAATGTAACTTTTGATGACTCTCGTGTGGAAAGGAGATCAATCGATCAAGAGGATGATGAAGACTTGATGCCTCTTCCTACTGTTCAGAATCAAAATACTTTACTTGAGGTTCAGAACCCTCTGCCTCAGATTCCAGAACCAACTCGTGATGAGAGTTCAATGTAGTTCGATTGGAGTGAAGAAGATGAATCTACTAAAGTTACAACTGCTGCAGAAAAACCTGGAGAATGTCAGTCTAAAGCTGAAGTAAAGAGATATGGTTCAAGAATTCCTAAGAACCATCTTATTGATGCTGTCATTGGAGATCCACAAGAAGGTCGTCGAACCAGAGGAAAATAAATTGATTTTAGAGAATTTGCTCGTATGAATTTCTTTGTGTCTACCATTGAGCCAAAGAATATTGAAGAAGTGTTGAAAGATAAATACTGGATCAGTGCCATGCAAGATGAACTGAATCAGTTTGAAAGGAACAGAGTCTGGACGTTGGTAGAACGACCCGATGACAACAATTTCATTGGAACGATGTGGATATTCAAGAAAAAATCTAATGAGAAATGGAATATCACAAGGAACAAAGCTCGGCTAGTTGCACAGGGATACACTCAGATTGAAGAAGTTGATTACGATGAAACGTTTGCCCCCGTTGCAAGAATTGAAGCCGTGAGGTTATTACTCTCAATCTCATGCGCACTTGGATTTTCTCTATTTCAAATGGATGTCAAAACTGCATTTTTGAATGGCTGGATCAAAGAAGAAATATATGTGGAGCAGCCTAAAGAATTTGAAGATCCATTCTATCCGAATCATGTCTACCGATTGAGGAAAACTTTGTATGGATTGAAGCAAGCACCCCATGATTGGTATGATTGATTGTCTACCTTTTTGATTGGAAAGGAATATACCAGAGGATCCACATATAAGACATTATTCATCAAACATAAAGGTACTGATGTTATGGTTGCTCAAGTTTATGTCGATGATATTGTCTTTGGATCAACGGCAAAGAAGTTGAAGGATGAATTTGTAGAGTTCATGCATTCAGAATTTGAGATGAGTATGATTGGAGAGCTGACATATTTCCTTGGATTGCAAATCAAGCAATGTGCTGATGGGATATTTCTGAACCAAACGAAGTATGCAATGAATATGGTTGAGAAGTTTGGTATGAAAAGTTCTAAGATTGTTAGAACACCGTTGGGACAACATGACAAGTTGTCTAAAGATGCTGAAGGAAAGAATGTTGATCAGAAGTTGTATAGGAGCATTATCGGAAGTCTGTTGTATCTTACAACTAGCAGACACGATATCATATTTAGTGTTGGCGTTTGTGCTCGATTCTAATCAGCCTCGAAAGAATCTCACTTGAAAGCCGCAAAGAGAATTTTGAGGTATATTAATGGAACGTCCGAACTTGGATTATGGTATTCTAAGAGATCATCACTAGATCTAATTGGATTTACTGATTCCGATTGGGCCGGATGCTGTGATGACCGGAAGTGTATGACGGGATGATGTTTTTACATTGGTGAAAATTTGATCAGTTGGAGTTCCAATAAGGAAAGCTCGATTGCTTTGTCTACTGCTGAGGCGGAGTATGTAGCCGCTGGAAGTTGTTGTGCGCAATTGTTATGAATTAAGCAAATGTTGAAGGATTATGGAATTGAGAAGGAGTCGTTTGTACTGTGGTGTGACAACACCAGTGCAATTAACATCTCTAAAATTCCAGTTCAACATGGGCGAACGAAGCACATAGAAATTCAATATCATTTTATCCGAGCACTTGTGGAAGCTGAAGTGTGCAGATTACAATACATTGGAACTGATTTTCAAAAAGCAGACATCTTCACCAAAGCATTGGATTCAGAGAGGTTTGAGAAATTGAGAAGAGAATTAGGTATGTATTCACACCTTAACTAATTCGGACTATTGAAGGAATTTAGTCCAATATTCATGGGATTTTATTGAATATATTTTGGAATATTGGATAAATATAAGGAAAGGAGAAATACGTGGCGTATTATTGAACGGGAAATTTATAGGATTTTTAGGGTTGCAGAGCCTGTTGCCTTGGGCAGTGTCCTGACGTTGGAACGTCGCTCTAACATCCCACGCGCCTGAATTGATGGGAATTAATAAAGGTGGTGTGTGAAGGGTTTTTTATTCCCCTGAATCTATATCTTCGGATCAGAGTGCACATAAATCACCCATCCTCTCTCTCCAAACCCCAATTTCGACTTGTGAAGGAGTTTTCTCTCAAAATCTCCAACCATGGTGAAAACTCGTTCCAGTGGAGTTGTCAAGGATGTTAAGCCGAAATCTGTTTCAAAGAAGAAAGTTGGAACTACAAAGAAAGGGAGGAAGTTGCCTGAATGTTTTTCCCCTTTTCTTGAATCCGTTGGTGAACATGTGATCGAAGAACATGGTCGCGATGTTGAGATTCCAGCAACTGATGTAGCCCATGATGAGAGAACCGTTGTCTCAAATGCTGAAGATCGTTCTATTTCTGAAGGACTTGAAGGTCATGTAACGAAACATGTTGTTGTGCACGAAATCGATCTAAACGAAGTTGTACCCATGAAAACCGCAAATGAAGATGAAGCCGTTGTTGAAATGGCTGGTACACAAGAAGAAAATGCTGAGGAAAACCCTGTTGATGTTCAAGAAGTTAAAATTGTTGCTGGTGGTGATGCAGAGGTTGCTACAACCACAAAAGAGGTTTCTGCTATTGATGAACCTGAAAGTGAGGCTGTACAAGAAGAGGTACCTGCTGAAAACATTGAAGGAGTTGGAACAAAAGTGCCCCAACCCGTGGATATGAATTTTGAAGCTACAGAGGCGAAACAAGTCATTTCTGAAAATGTGGTTGAGGAAGGAGAAGTTGTTCCTATGGAACCCTCCCCAAATCGATAAAGAAGAAGATGATGATGAGTTGGACTCTCTTCGTCTGTCCTCTGGTTTAGACAGACTCCGAAAAAGAAAGTTTGGCAGTTTGTCTCGCAATGCCCCTACCCCTACTAAAAAGACTTTCAAAAGGACTAAGGCAAATGTTCAAAAGTCTAAAGGAGTTTATGATCCTCCTGTTGTTCATGAAGATAAAGCGTTGAATGAGGCATATTATTATGCTTATGGGCGTCGCTATGCTCAAGATGTTCTTGCTGGAAGGACTGTGATTTCAGAAGCTTAGTTCATCCGGAGAGTGTATACCGATGTTGGATTCCGTGCGTTCCTTGAGGAAAGACATTTGTTGTTTTGGGCGACCGGATTAGAGCGTTACTGTCCTCGCCTTGTCAAGGAGTTTTATGCCAATTTTTGTGGGAAGGTACTCGATCCGAACTCTCTATGGTATCATAAGATATATATTCGTGGCAAAATTTTGGAACTTAGTCCTGCAGTGATCAATGAGTTGTTACAACTACCGGCGAATGATGAAAACAAGCTACCATCTGAGCTGATTGATGAATCAACAAAGAAGGTTGCCAGAACCATATATGCTAGAAATGTTTTGTCATTTGGATGTTTTGGAGCGACTGGAACAATGCTGACGATGAAGTATCAATGTCTCTTTCTACTTTGTGGATGCAATATTTTACCAACCGTCAACAATACAAGTATCATCACTGATATGGGTACTCTCATCTTGTCTATTGATAATCATTTTGAGCTAATTAATTTTGGCTATTTGGTAATCAAGAAGATGATTGAGTTTTGTTCAGTTCAAAAGTGGAATGGACACGATTGCCCTATCCCGGTTTAATTTGTTTGTTCTTGAGTTCCAAAGGAATTCATCCAGAACCGGATCAGGAGGTGTTTCCCATTTAATCATTTATTGCCCAACCCAACCTAAAAAAGCTCCACAATGACTTTCTTCTCGGTGCCCCAATGGATGTCGATGCTCGAATTGAGAAATGTAAGGCGCTACAGATTAAAGTCATGAGGGATCAATCTGCTCTGTCTGTTGCTCTCATTGCTCAGAATAGAAAAGTGGCACAAGCCATAAGGCTGATGCCTCGCAAACCTAGAAGCGTAGATGATGAGGACGCTGATGAAGATGGTGATAGAGATGGTGATGGTGCGGAGGAAGCCGACCCCTGACCACCTCTTTTTGGCCTCTGCTGCAATGCAAGGGGGAGAATGCAGCAAGCCAAGGGAGTGTGTGCTGTTGAGGAAGAATTGGTATTACCATCTACTATTTGTTGATTATGTTTTTTGTCTACTTTTGATAAACTGCCGATGCTTTTCTGTTGTTACAACATTTGGATGTTAAAGCCGTCAGTGGCTTGCTCGAATTGATGGTCTGTAATAACTCTGAATCGGATTGTGATTCTGGTGTGTGGATGTGTGAATGATGTATGTGTTTGTTGCTTATTATGCCTTGCTGCATATTCCAAAAAGGGGGAGATTGTTGGCATATTCAAAATTGCCAAATCCTTGTATTTCTACTTTTGGCATATGAGCAAATATGCAGGATACTGTTGCAGCTTTCGGTTGATACCATTTCGAGAAACCTGCCAACTGCAGAGTTAACCAAGGTATAGGTTTTGGATGCATCTTGCGTGTCCTACACTCGATGGAATAGGACAAAAGAATATGCATTAGACAGAGGAAGTGCAGGAGAGGCTGCATGTATTGTCCTCTCATACTACATGGCATTTATTGCCCTGATACACTGCCCCAAAAGTTAACACACAGTCAACTTTGTCCTCTAGTGTGGGGGATTTGTATTTTGTATGGATGTATGTTTGTTATCGTATGAGAGATCAGAACTTAGAGAGTAAATATTCTCTCCACTTGTTAGAGTGTTGAGAGAGCTCATCCATGGAGGATTGAAGACGAGAAGAAAGATTATTGGAGTCGAAATCGAAGAAGATATTCATCTGGTAAACAATCTTATTCTCAGCTTGGTCGCTGGCCCCCTGGAGTTGTTGCGGTGGAGTAACATCCAGTCCATGAGAGTTTGTAAAACTAAATGGAGATTTGGTAGAAGATAGGTTGGGTTGTTTGGTTTGGTGTTTTATATGGTGTAAACCAAGTGTTTGGTTTAGTTAAGACTCCTGGATTGGAATCCCCCAGACGTAGGTTGGAAAATCGAACTGGGTAGACAAACTTGGTGTGTTGTTTTTCTTTCTGCACTTATTCAGCCATCGATTTGTGCATGAACACACACCTCTGTTATAACCACGAGATAACTTCGCTGTAAAGCTGTAATTACATCGAACGTTTCACAGTTCCGCTGTGCAAGGTACTCGGAGGCGTTGGACCTCTTACTCGCCCCTCTCCGCGACTTCCAACATTGTTGTTACATTCATTCTTGATAGCAATGCGGTTCCACAACATGTGCTGCGGCGACAAAAATTTGAATGATAATATTTAGATTGGCGTAGATGGGGAGGAGAACAAGGAGGTTAACTCCAGCGAGTCTCACACTCATGTTCTCTCTATTCTACGACCTCAGCCACCCTGCCCAAACGGTGAGGCAGCCAAAAAGGTTGCTGTCGAAAAGGTTGCACAGGCAGCCTACGAACATGCCTTCAATACCGTGATGGAGGGAGCACAACCTATTGCTGCGACCTCCAACTAGCCTGTTGCTGGGAGGAAAAAAATGGGATCTTGTTGATACCCGTGTAAAACAGTTTTTCGTTGCTTTGCCTCGTCCGCAGCATATGGCAGCAGAACCTGCGCAGGATCTCGTTGTCTTCTAGACAACAACCAGATGACTTGAAGAGTATACAACATGTTACTATTGCGGACCATGTAATGCAACATGTTGCTGCAACTTTCTGGCAGCCTGTTGCTGCGACAACTAAAAAGCTAAAAAAATTCAATGGAAAGAATTTTAAAACGATGTTGAAAAAATATATATATATATACACACATTGAAGCCTAGTTGGGGTGATTTCAAGATTTACTTGAAATACAAATGGAAGGAAAATGGACATGGTGAGACTCATCAATCGTCTATATACTGAAGATGAGCATAAATCGAACATGGCAAGTAGGGGACATCTGATGTTTGGTAGCAAGGCCAATGTAGTCGACACAATTCCATAAGAAAACTTAATACAACTATGGTTATTGTGAATAAGACCAATGTTTCGTCAAAAGATAATATAACGGATTTGCTAATCATAGGGTTAAACCGTAATGCAGTTTACAAACTAACTAAAGGAATGGAGCTCAAGCCTGGTGAAATATAAGTTTTATAAAGAAAAACCCAACCTAGAAAGATTGGAGATTCCAAGAACTAGGTTCAATGGGACAACCTGCCTATAAGACTTATTTGTATTAGTCGAAACCTTAGAAAGATCACCTATGTGAAAGAGAAGTGAGATTGCTTCAAAGAAGAACTGTTCAGGCTCAGTTCTGTAAAAACTCTCACAGTTTTAGAATGGGTTCCATGGCCAAAACAGACCAAACAATGAGAACCGAACTAGGCACATGAATTATGTGTCGGTATGTAGCCCACTTACTAGAAAATTGAACAGTTCAAGGACAACGTATTCACTGGACAATTG